TCTAGCATATAGTTTTATGTCTCGTTATTTGTTCCTTTATTCATTTCTTATCTTTGAGCTTAGTTAATAAATGTTGTTAGATGATTTGCTGTGAGGGGAATCACAGTTAGTCATAGAGTCATACAGCATGGAAACAGACCCTCCAGTCCAAATAGTCCATGCCAACCATGTTCCCAAACTAAACTAGTCCCACCTGTCTGTGTTTGGCCGATATCCCTCTAAACCTTCTGCATTCATGTACTTTTCCAATTGTCTGTTAAACATTGTAACGGTGCCTGCATCCACCACTTTCTCTGCCTGTTCATTCCACACAAGAACCACTCTGTAAAAAAGGTTGGTCCTCATGTCCTTTTTAAATTTTTCTCCTCTCACCTTAAAAATATGCCCCCTAGTTTGAACTTCCCCACCTTAGGAAAAAGACCTTTGGTTTTCCCCTTATCCATACATCTCATGATTTTATAAACCTTTGTAAAGACACCTTTTAACCCTCTACATTTGAGTGAAAAAGTCACAGCCTATCCAGCCTCTCCTTATAGCTCAAACTGTCCACTTCTGGCAACATCCTGGTAAATCTTTTCTGATTCAGTTTAATAATATTCTTCCTACAGCAGGGTGACCAGAAGTCTACACAGTGCTCCATGATGTCCTAACTCCTTTACTCAAAGGTCTGAGCAATGAAGGTAAGCTTGCTAAAAGCCTTGTTAACCACCCTATCTAACTGCGATGCAAATTTCAAAGAATTGTATACCTGAACCCCTTGATCTTTCTGTATTAGAACCTCACATTTATACAAATCAAACTCTATCTGCCACTCCTCAGCCCATTGACCGAATTGACCAGTGTTTCAGATCTCACCAGACGTTCAAATATCCACAGTTTAAAACATAAATAATTTGATAATCATGTTGTGTGGTATTTTATAAGTATTCGTAGGACAGATACAAGCTACTCTGCTAAACGCCGTTTATTCTTCACACTTATCTCCTCCCACCCTTTGCCACATAACACCAGCAAGAAATCCTTTCATTCCTTTTTTCCTGATATTTTTCAGACTCTAATTTCTCTAATGTTATACTGATTTTTTTGAGTAGAGAATTAAGGTACAGGAGTATTGTTTAATTTCATTTTACATGGTCTTGCAGATGACCTGATATATTGTGTCTGGAATCATGGAAACAACTACAGCCCCAAAGGGGGCCACTTCGTCTGTTGACTGTATGCTGACTGTCCTTGGAGAAATCCAGTCAGCCACATTATCCCACTTTTGATCCATAGCTCTGGAAGTTTATTTCCTTAATAATTCATCCAATTTCCTATTCAAATCATTAATTGACTCTGCTTCCATTACCATCCTGGATAATGAGTTCATGGTTATTACCATTTGCAGCATTAGCAAGTTGTCCTTCTAATTCTTCCTGTATCTTGTATCCAGAACATTATATCTGTGTCTCTTTTGTATCATCAGTTAATGGTAACAGCTTTTCTTTGTCAACATACTTAAAACTTGTCATAATCTTGTCTACTTCTATAACATCTGTGCCCAATCTATTTTGATCCAAGAAGAACAACCCCGACTTAACCTTGTAGTCAGAATTCCTCATTTCCTGAAACTATTCTGATAAATCTCCTTTGCACTCTCTCAAAAATTCTCCCATCCATACTATAGCATGGTGACTAGAACTGATGACTATGGTCAAACCAAACGTTTATTAAGGTTCAACAGAACTTCCCTGCTTTTGTACACAGTGCCTCTATTTGTGAAGCTCAAGTTCTTAATTGCATTACCAATAATTCTCTCAATATGTCCTGCAACATACAAAGACCAATACACCCTGTTACAGGCCGAATTTGTGATTTATTATTGTCCATGATCAAAGTTGTCTGATGAGGTATATTATATTTATGTATATTGCATAGTTTATTTCTGTTTACTGAATCCAGTAACAGGTTTTTATGAATTTAGAAATAAAGAAGATTTAGTATGATGCATTTGCTGGAGGCTTTAAAGGTGACAGCTCAACACACTTTATCACAAAAAAAGTACAAGCTTTTGGAGCACTGCTCCTTCACCTGACGAAGGAGCAGCACTCCGAAAGCTTGTGATTTCAAATAAACCTCTTGGACTATAACCTGGTGTCGTGTGACTTCTGACTTTGATGACCCCAGTCCAACACCAGCACCTCCACATCACAAAAAAAGCATTTAAATACAGATTAAGAAAAGGCTTTATGATCACAAGGATTTTTTTGTGTCTCCTTTGTATCAGGCCCGTAATTTCTTAGATGAATTGAAGCTTGAGCTGGAGTAAAGCTCTTGTAAAAGCAGATAATCCTCAGTAAACTGTGAGGCTTATTGTAGCTGAAGGAAGTCAGCTCTCAGGTGAACGTGGAGTTAGAACAGGCCAGGGAGAAGAATTCTCTCACTTTCAAAGTACAGTTACTTTATCTTGTCTTAGTGTTTTGCAGCTGGTTTGATGGCTTTTCAGATAATATTTCTCATGGTTTCTGTCTTGGTATGCCTGATCAGACTAGCTTTTGCTGAATACTCTGAAAAGAACAGGTAGCAAACATATCTGTACTACCCATGTGAGCTGTTAGAAGTCTAAATTCCTTTCCCAAATAAGGCAGTGTATATGCTTGTATTTATCCTGTGTTAAGCTTTTCATGTTTTGAGAACTTTGAGACAGCCGGGGTCTTTGTAAATAAATAACCTATTCAATTAAAGTTACTCTTTTGAATGCCTTTCAAGAAAATACATTGAATTTTAATCTCCCCATGATTCATGATGAAATAGGAAGACTGGTCAGTGGGTGACAGTCCTGTGCTGCTAACAATCCATCCTTAACAAAGTCATTTGTGAATTTTACAATGGCTGTGATTATCCTTTTTTTTAAGTTAGGTAGTTGCTGGAGTCTAAGCTGTCTGTAGCTGGTACTGGCAGACATCTGAAAAGCAATTGGGTACCTTTTTGAAAGTAATATCTTCATGCCTGTATTGGGCATGACAGCTCCTAAGCCCTTCTGTCCCTGTACATGTTGAGATGTTGGCTATTAAGACAATATTGCCTCTTATCCCTTAAGGTAAAATGCATCACTTCACACTCTCTGTATTAAATTCCATTGCTCGCTTGACTGTATATTCTCATCTACTCATTTCCTGTTGCAGTAAATTGGTTTCATTGTCACAGATTGCTGCACCACTACATTTGGTACCATTGGCAATAATTATGTTTTACTCAATTCCAATATCCAAATCATTTGTACATGTCAAAAAAAAAGACACTGACACTTGGACACACCACTATGTACCATACTTTATCTGAAAAGTAAAGGTAACTTGCTGTACCATAACTTGCTGGTTTCTGTTCTGAAGTAAATAGCATTATACAAGTTGCCAGGAATTTTGTTAAAAATCACAGGGAAGATATTCAGCACAGTCTACTTTTCAACCTTCTCTGTTACTTCATCAAAAATTCAAATGGATTAGTCAAGGACGATCTGTTTTTTGTGAATCTACATCGGCTCCCTACAATTCAAACCTCTCTGAGTGCAGGCTGAACTTCTTGATGATTGTTTCTAAAACCTTGCTCACTAATGATGTCAAATGTGCATTTCAGAAGTGGAGTTTATAGTTGGTGTTCCATTATTTTGTTATGTTGCTAGTGATCTATTTTGTGGTCAGTGTTATACATTCTCATTCTGGAATCTCTGCCATGTAATCTGACCAACACAATGTGATCTACGTGCTGAGATTAACCTGTTGCCTTATTCACAGAAGGCAAAATGTCCAGTGGCAAAAGATTTTTTTTCCCCCACAGCAAGCTGCTGTGATTTGGAATGCCTAAAAGAGAGGTGGATTAGATTTAATACTTACGTTAAAAACTGGTAGTTTAAAAGAAAATTGCTAAATAATTTTAAGGGCAACATTTGCAGGGTTATGGAGAAAAGAATTGCTGTGAGTGAAACTAATTTAATGATTCTTTCGAAGACCTATCCATGATGGGCCAAATGATCTGCTTTCTGTACCAGAGGCTTAACATGTTACACTTGGCATCTTAAACATGGGCTAACCAGCAGAATATCCAAGTATCATCTTGTGCCCAACTCTTGGTTGAAACAGCACTATGGGCAATCTGAGGTATGAATCAGAGTACAGGGCTATCTATTCATATTGTTTGATGACATGACCAAATTGATATTACTTGTCTTTTTTAAGTTTATAGCTAAATACCCAGTTAGGTTATTTCCCATCGTGTGAAGGAAGGTAAGGAACAGAGTTTACTGCCCCTCCTTTATTACCTATGAAATAGCGGTGTTGAGACTTCTTCAAGTGTATGTGAGGATCAGGTGCTTGCAATGTTAAGTACAGAGTTCCAGGATTTTCTGCCATGTTCCCAGCACTATGGTTTAATAGTGTCATCTGTTCCCTGATACTCTTGCCTCTCCTTGTGCTGTGGTTTGAACTCTCTACTGTGGCCTGAGGAAGGGTAACCGGATCCGAAACGTTCACTTTTCTTTCCTTCAAATATGCTGCCAGACCTGCTGAGCTTTTCCAGCAACTTCTGTTTGTGTTCCTGATTTACAGCATCCGCAGTTCTTTCTGTTTTGTCCCGTGCCTGAGCTGTGTGGTTTTCTGTTCTGAGAAGCAATCCTGTCTCCAGTCTGCCAAACGGCTTGCTTCTCGGAGGCAACTACTCTGTTGTTACTCTGGCAGCACCTGTGGAGAGAGAGAGCAGAGTTTCAGGTCCAGTGACCCATCTTCAGAGCGCTTGTTTACTTCTGTTTTTGTTTCTGATTTCCAGCATCCGGAGTTCTTTCGTTTTGGACTCTGTTGTTAACACAGCTTTCGTCCAGCCGTTCTGAAGCAGCCCTCCCCTCCCCACAAGTTGACCACATTACCTAATAAGGCTGAGGGTAGCTAACGCATCAAACCAGTGAAAATGTGGTCCAGGGTGCCATATATCACAACAATGTGATTCCCTTTTCGTGTCGCAATTGGACTACAGCAAATCACAAGGTTAGTTGATCGAGAGAACTCCATGAAATCGGCACAAACTGGAAGAGCCGTGCATTGGGAGCAGCTGCCCTCTACATCTGCTCTCTCTGTAAGTACCTTACTGACTCTTAGGGGAAAATACATCAATAATTAGCGAGTGAGACTGGTTGTTTGATTTCTAATGTGGAGCAGGTCAGGCATCCTGAAATGAAGTAGTTTGCGTTCTGTTTTCGCGTCAGCCATCCTGAAAGAAAGCCGCTCGGTACCTGTTGAATGGACGAGCTATGAATGAATGGATCCGTTTTAATATTTGAAACATTTCCCAATGCCCCGTGAGCCAGTGAGAGCTGGAGAGCCGGGCAAGTATTAGCGTATTCTGTGGTTTTAAGTTCAGTGGGTGAAGATGAAAGGAAGAATTGGTATACATTGTAAGTAACCCGCGTTTCCAGCGCTGCCATTCGGAAGGGGAAGGTGCTTGTAATATAGTTGATGTTCCATCCCAGCCCTGTCAGGCAACGCCAGGGTTTCCTAAACTGTTGCTTCGGAAGGAAACCCAAGTCGCATCTTCCCTTGGGGAGGGAGGTTGGGGAACGGCAAGCGACTAGAAGCTGAAGGGTACAGCCTGGATGCTGAAACATTTCAATGCAGTGCCTGATAAAATAGAGCGTGTGGAACACAAGCGGTGGGGAGCTCGGTTTTCCCTCACAGAGATGACTAGCCGCTTTCCGGCTCCTGGCCTATTGATCCTGTAGGACAGGACCCTGGCAGCTTGAAGAACACCCTAAAGTTTCCTTTTGCAAACTGCGCTCTCAAACATTCGTGCGCTTGTTTGAATAGCCTGTTCTGTTAAGCTACTTTCAGGAAAGCTTGCACTTATCCAGGGTACCCAGTGTGCAGTCTGAGAATTAACTGGCCCGGCAATAAACCTGACGACCATCAATGTTTGTTTTAATCGTTCAGATCTCTCTGCTATTTCTCTGTACTGCTTATACTGCACTTATGCAATTACATTGTCTTCATGGGGGTACGCTTTGTCAATCTTTTAAGTCGGTGGAGGTGGTTAGAGAAGCTGCGTGTATTTTTTTTTTGTCTAAATTATGGGAATATAATACTTCTCCATGTTGACATTATTGTGTGTGGCGTGTTTGCAGTGAAGCTGACAGATTTATCACCTACTCTTACATGAAGAGGTGGACCTTGGAAGCCAAGTGGCTCTTTAAAAGGATGAGGATAATGGAACGATGTTGTGAAATTTAGATTTGAGCCGGAGACGGTCGCAGTGCTGGGGTTGGGGGGGTCAGGTGCAGGGAGAGGGCAGACGGTGGGTCAGGAAACAGCAGTGTGCCCGCCGCTGGCCCCATTCAAATACTCGCTGTCATGTGCTCAGCTCCCCCAGTGGCACACTGAGAGAGCCTCTGCAAATCCAGAACGGCGCGTAAGTATTTCAAAGCGGGTCGTGCAAGTTTCCTCTCGCCCCTTTATTTCAAACGATGCATGGCACCTTGAAGACTGACGAACTGAGGATAAGAGCATAATTTCACAGGACATTTCTGAGAAATAATTTGAGCGTGTAACGCGATCCGAGTTGGAATCACTCGGAAATCAGATGTTTCTTTTCTGTAAGCAATTATGTCGCATATTACAGCGATGGAGCTTAGATTTGAGATGTATTTTTGTGCCTTCTAAAAACGTGTTTGCCCCTCTCATAATTCCCCCGTGTTGCGACCCTTATCTGAGCCGATAGGCGAGAACATGAAGTATGACTGAGAGGCGAAATGCCCTCTGTGAACCCACCGCCCGCCGAGAAAAGCAGCATCTTCACTTTGTCTGCTCTGACAGAGCAGCTTGGTGTGAACTCGCCCCAGCCGGACCTTAGTACATTGTCGCAGCGAAAACGTGTCCCTCAGCGATCCTGTTTATTTGGAGCATTAAGGTATCATTTATGGTTATTTTACTATTTAGACCACCTGAGCTGATCATTCATGCAAAGTGAATTTTCAAAATGGCAGGCAAAGTTGGCAGAAGAGGGGCAGCTGTAACTGACTGTATTAGTGTATTGTTTGTCTAGATACAACCATGCGTGAGAGAGACTTCTTTATTCTATTCAGTTGCTGGTTGCTTCTATACTGCACCCAGCTGTTCACTACAGTTAAGTTACAGCTACTCAAGGCCTTCCTTCAGATCAAGTGCCCAGAAATCAGTCATGTAACAATATTTGTAAAAAACAATACATTCATGATGTACAAAGTATGCTAAAATTTATTTAGTAATCACATTTTCCAACTGCCTTTTATCCTGATTCAGTGTCCGTAGATATCACTGGAAATCTAGGACAGGATATGTTCACTGTATGGTTTTAATGCCATCAATTTTCAATACACACTGACATGAACCTGATCAGCCTATAATGTGTGTTCCAATAAATTGACCTTTCCAAAGTTAGCTCATTGACACAATTATCTGGTGCTCCTAGTACACAGTGCAGGGCACAATGGTTGAAGTTAAGTGCAGGATTGGCTTCAAAAGTTGCTGGCTTCCAAAAATGAGAGACATCTGTCTAGGCTGGAAATGGAGTTATCCAATTAAACAGCTGGATTCTGGAAATCCCACAACAAAGGGTTACTCTGTTTGGAGGAGTACGTAGCTCTGTATTCAAGGGATGGGGATAGGGAAGTCTATTATCAAGTTGCAAGTGAGAGCACTTAATGAAGCAGTGACCATAAGACTATAAGACATTGCAGAATCTGCAGCCTATTCACCAGCAACAGTTCATATGGATGACAGTGCGCCTCAGGGAAATGTCACATTCCAACATTTCCATCACCCCACAAAAATGAATGTTTGAATCACCAATTGTACAGCAGAGAAACTACTTTATTACTGGTCGGTACACCTTCACTTGCTGACCATTTTCAAACCCAGCAGCAGGAGCAACTGCAAAACTTCCATTTCTAGAAATGAACATTGATAGCCAGTAGAGAGTCATCTCACTTCCTCTCACTGAGCTCTTCAGAGATCTTTGTGAGCCATCAAAGTAACAGAATCAATTGTTCAAGATGGCAAAGCTGTGTTCCACAGTGACCCTGTTGGTGCCAAAGCCCTATTATACCATTTTGTGTTCTCTTATCCTTGGCTAAAGCATTGGTGCGACGAGCCAAGTGAAATTGTATATCCTTGAACACAGACAAGGCATCACGGTAGTCTTTAATCCTTCAGATATGTCTGACTTTATTGACTTTGACAGAATGAATGAATGGTGGGAGCAGTCACCTTTATGTGCATTCCTGTGTATAGCTCTGTACTTGTGATTGCAGAGCCCATCATTGTTGATGAAGTGGTAGCCTTTCTATTCATAATACTTTCAGAGATAGTAGGAACTGCTGATGCTGGAGAATCTGAGATAACAAGGTGTAGAGCTGGATGAACACAGCAGGCCAAGCAGCATCAGAGGAGCAGGAAAGCTGACGTTTCGGGTCTAGACCCTTCTTCAGAATAGTGCTGTGTTCAGGCAAGATCATGTATGGCCACGTGAATGCAATCAGTTATGGTCTGCACTTGCCGGAATTATAGGAATGCGGGCATCTTTCTTTTTGCTGGCTGCTTTCCACAGGAAACATGATGAAACTTTTGTCCCTGGCAAACAATGTATCGTTCAACTCCTTGATACAATTATGAACTGAAGAGTGGAAGATGTGCCTGATGTCTCCCCCACATGCCTGGAAGGAACATGTCATGCAAAAGTTTCTGACCATTATTACATATATTACAGTGCAAGATGCAACTTTTCAAATTTTGGCTTAGATAACACACCCTGATCTTATATTGACAGGTTTATTTAGCATAATGACATGCCTGAATATAACCTCACCTGTTTGGTGTATCAATTCTAATTCTCCAGTTGTTCTGACTTTCTTTCCAAAACATGTAAATAAAGAGATGGAAATACCTATTACTTGATGTTAATACATTCTCTAACAACTTAAAGTTACATTAATATTTTGTTAGTCACTTCAAGTAGCAAGCAAGAAGAGTCCAGCAATCTTCAATAACCCCTTCTATCCAAACAGACCATATGCAATGCAAAGATAACCACTTACTAAAAAATTTAATGATAACAACAGTGTGCCTTTACTAACAAGGAGCAGTCTGTTCTACACAGGAACTTAACTTATCATGCTTTGCTTAGGTTTCCGGATCACACACTGGAGAAGATCCTTTGTGACCTTGAATTATTGAAGCTATATGTACTCTTTATGACCAATCTGTTTGTGCTCAGGGTTGCTGTTGGATGCACTGTGCACATGAATGTCCAGTAACCACAAGCCTCCATGCCCAAAAATAGACAAATATGTATCCCACTGTCCATTAGGTACTGCTTTCACATTATCAGCCTTTTGAGTAATTTTGATCTGGCTTATACATAGATTGTTTCAATAGTCAAAATATAATTCTGTTGGGATATCAGTATTTTGATTTTCCACTTTCAAGTTACTCAATTAAACAGAGTTAATTATGAAACCTATACTATTTCGTCTTGTCACAATGTTGACATCATGAGCATGTCTGCTGCAAGGTCTGACAAAGCCCTCCAGCGCAAAGCCTGTGCAGCAGCCTCCTGGCTCCAGTTTCAGCGTTCATGATGGGGAGTAGTGTAATTAGAATATTACATTTTTCTAGCACATTGATGTAGCAGGTCATTAGGAGGGCAAATGGAACGTTGATCCTTATTGCAAAGAGGTTGGAGTGTAAGAGTAGGAATCAAGGTGCTGGTGAGACCACATCTGGAGGACTGAGAGCATTTTGTTCCCTTTATTGAAGGGAAGATATAATTTCATTGGAGGCAGTTCAGAGAATGTTCACTAGAATGATCCCTGGTATGGAGGGATTGTCTTATGAGCATGTACTAAACAGGTTTGGACTCTACTTACAGGAGTTTAGAAGATTGAGAGGTGATTGAATTGAAACATATCAGATTCTTAAGAGGGTAAAAGCTGAGAAGATGTCTTCTCTCATGGGAGAGTCTAGGATCAAACAGCATAGTTTCGGGATAAAGGGGTGCCAATTTAAGACTGAGATGAGGAGGAATTTCTTCTCTGAGGGTCATGAGTC